ATTAACAACAACCAATCAGGCTTCAGTAAACAGAGAAAGAACGATCTTATTATTCCTGCCTCTCACTCTAATCGTCTTTCTACCCCCACCATTGCCATCAGCGGTCCATTCTAGATGTCGATGGTTGTACGTCATACGTCAAAGCTTGTGCGTTACTTACGTCTACAACTTTAGTCTCTAAGTAAGCGTAACGACAATTCTTGTGCTCAGACCCTAATTTTTTAGGACTTAAGACTTTACGACTGCTACGACTTCTATTGTAGACCCCGCTTTAAAGTGAGATAGATATACGTTTTGTAGGGACACACACTCTACACTCTCTCATTCGCTCATTGATACACACGCGCTGCGTGCAGATGGCGCGCTATAGCGCACAAGATTGACTACAGACTTTCCCTTACACAATACTTTCATACTGACTTCTCATCTCTTTGTGATTTTTCTAACGGTTACATTGTAACGTTCTCGCGACATAATAATAAATATTCTTTAGTACATCCGCCTGCCAGTTATTTCCATCCGATTCTCTACATTATATGTACCACAGCTACATAATTGGTGACCCCGACGTGATCGCTTTTGATAGCGTGAGCAACAATTGGAAATTGCGACAAGACCGAACCACTACGTCCACGTGCCGGCATGTCGACCACGAGACCGCCCCCGCCAACACCGCCTATCAGCGTTAACCAAGGTAGCGGATCCTCACAATCAATTCATGAGGACACGAATTTACGAAGTCAGCAACCCCCGCTACCGTCGATGCCGCGACAGGAAGAGTGCGCCGCAGAATTTCGTTACGTACGTCTACCAACGTTTTGGAAAAAATCGTCCTACGTTATGGTTCGTACAGTTAGAATCTCAATTTAACACTTATCGCGTCAGATCCGACGAGATTAAATATAACGCAGTCATCAGACATCTCGATGAGCCTACAATGGTTACTGTCACGGACATCCTTGAGAACCCTCCTGCAACCGACGAATGTAAGCAGCTCAAGGAGGCACTAATTGCGAGATTCACAGACTCGAAAGAAAAACAAATGCGAACGCTGCTTATGGGTATTGAACTCAGTGACAAGAAGCCATCGCAGTTACTACGCGAAATGAAGACTCTTGCAGGAGAGAATGCCACCGAGGGCTTGTTGCGAACCCTCTGGCTGCAGCGAATGCCCGCTCGCATACATGAGATGCTGTTAATATTTGACAGTGCTACCTTGGATAAACTAGCGGAATGTGCAGATAAACTCAACGAACATCCCACTTCAGTGGACATTCATGCCGCACAAACAACCGCAGCAACGACAGAGCAGGATTCTATTCAGCAGCTTATCAAACAAATGGCTGCCCTGACAAATAAGGTAGAACGGCTATCTAAAGAAAAGCGTTCAAGAAGCCGTAGCACAAGCCGCTCTCGACAACCAGTCAAGGCATCAAACATGTCATCTAACGAAGCAGGCCAGTGCTACTACCATCAACGATTTGGGGAGCGAACTCGTAAATGCACACCCCCATGCAATACACAAATCAAATCAGTTCCGGGAAACGAATAAGACCGCCGTCTGTACAAGCCGCTAACGACGGTCTTGAGATATCCTCCCGGCTTCATGTTGCAGACAAGACTACAGGTTTAACCTTCCTCGTTGACACGGGCGCAGATATCTCCATCTTACCAGTATCAAGGCTGGGAAAACTCACTTCACCAGCGCCATTGGTCCTATACGCTGTAAATGGCTCACAATTTAAGACCTACGGGCGAAAACTTCTTACCCTAGATCTAGGGATACGCAGACCAATTACATGGCAATTTACCGTAGCTGATGTCTCTCGTCCAGTAATAGGAGCAGACCTATTAAAACATTTTGGACTCATCGTGGACATCCAAGGTGAGCGTCTTATTGATAAGACCACTCAACTAACCATTCCAGGTTTTAAGCTTCGAATAGGTTACGTCGCAGCAAAGACACTGGATTCATCATCAATATATCACCGCATCCTGGCGGACTACCCAAAAATCGTCACCGAGCCGCAGCTACCTACTGAGAGGGCACACGGAATTTATCACAATTCAAACCAAGGGACCTCCGGTGGCCAGCCGACCTCGTCGACTTCCACCAGATAAGCTCAAAACAGCAAAAGCGGAATTCGCCCATTTATTACAACTAGGGATCTGTCGACCCTCCAAGAGTCCATGGGCGGCGCCATTGCATTTAGTTCCGAAGAAGCAACCGGGCTCGTGGAGACCGTGCGGTGACTACCGCGGTCTTAATGCAGTTACAACTCCAGACAGGTATCCTCTACCTCACATTCATGACCTCACCAGTAATCTACGTGGAAAACACATATTCTCTACATTGGATCTAGTCAAGGCTTACCACCAAGTACCTGTCCTAGAAGAAGACATTCCGAAAACAGCGGTAACGACCCCTTTCGGCCTCTTCGAATTCGTCACTATGCCTTTTGGGTTACGAAACGCTGCTCAAACTTTCCAGCGTCTAATGAACGAGGTACTTCAATATTTAGATTATTGTTTCTGTTATGTAGATGACGTACTCATTGCTTCGGTCAACGAAGAACAACACCAGAAAGATCTACGACAAGTCTTTCAACGACTGCAGGACGCAGGCATCACAATCAATCCAGCAAAATGTCGTTTCGGACAAAAGAATATACAATTCTTAGGACACGAAATCAGCAGCGAGGGCATCAAACCTTTACCTGACAAGGTAAACGCAATCATCAATTTCACTCAACCTGAAACCTTAATACAACTCCGTAGATTTCTCGGCATGCTTAACTACTACCGCCAACACTTAAAGCACACAGCCAAGAATCAAGCGCCATTAAATAACCTACTCAAAGACTGCCGAAAAAAATGACAAAAGGCCCGTACCTTGGACGGACGAGACAATGGTTGCATTTAAGGCGTGCAAAATGGAGCTAGCACATGCCACTCTCCTCACACATCCAGTGGAGGGAGCGCCTTTACTTCTTTCTATCGATGCATCTGACACTGCCATCGGAGCTACACTAGAACAGATGAACAACAACCAGCTTTCGCCTATAGCTTTCTTTTCAAAAAAGCTCAGTGACACACAAAAAAAGTACAGCACTTACGACCGTGAATTATTAGCGATGTATGAAAGCGTCAAATATTTTAAAGATATTTTGCAGGGCGGCATGGTCACAATCAGAACAGACCACAAACCCCTCACTCACGCACTCAATCAACGTTTGGACAAAGCCTCACCACGACAGGCACGACAACTCGATCTAATCGCACAGTTTACAAACAAAATCATATACATCGCAGGAGAAGAAAATGTCGCTCCTGACGCATTGTCACGCATCAACGCTGTACAATTACCTATCATAACCACGACAGAGGAGCTTTCCACAGAACAAGCAAGAGACGATGAGCTACAACAGCTTTTGGAAAACGGATCAGCCTTGGATTTAAAGGAATTCACTTTACCTGGCTCAAATATACCACTGCACTGTGATTGTTCAAGAGGAGCAATTCGACCATACGTACCAGCAAGCCTAAGAAAACAAATTTTCGACACCGTTCACGGGATGGCACACCCCAACGGCAGAGCCACTAAGAAGCAGATTAATCAAAAATTCGTTTGGCCAGGGATCAACAAAGACGTCACTCACTGGGCGCGCACTGCTTACAATGCCAACGCAGTAAAATCCAACGACACACTAAGAATACTCCAAAAGCAATTCCAATCCCGGATCAGAGATTCCACCATATACACTTAGATCTCATTGGCCCCCTTCCGGAGGTAAGAGGTTATAAGTACTGTCTCACAATCATTGACCGCTTCTCTAGATGGCCAGAAGCGATTCCACTTCCCAACATGAACGCACAAACTGTGGCTGCAGCATTTCTCGACGGTTGGGTGGCACGTTTCGGCACGCCCGCCATCATTACCACTGACCAGGGTAAACAATTCGAGGCCAGCCTGTTTCAAGCGCTTTCGAAATTTCTCGGCAGCATAAAGACCAGAACATCTCCTTATCATCCAGCATCCAACGGCATCGTTGAGAGGTGGCACCGCACATTGAAAACAGCTATAACTTGCCACGAGGATGGAAGACAATGGTTGGATCTGTTACCTACTGTACTCCTCGGCCTGCGCACAAGCCTGAAAGAGGATTTGAAGTGTTCTCCTGCTGAGCTAGTCTACGGTGTACCATTACGAATTCCCGGAGAATTCCTTGAGAACTTAGACCCCACAGAAGACTCAGAGACCTTCATCATAGCCCTTCGCAAACGCATGCGTCAACTCTGTCCACAACCAACACAACATCACGGAAGGCGAACACCCTTCAGACAACAACAATTAGAGCAGGCCACTCATGTTTTCGTCAGGGTAGACGGCATCCGAAAACCACTCCAACATCCTTACACTGGACCTCATGAAGTGATCCGTAGGGAAAGTGAGCACGTGTATGTAATACATATCAACGGCCGGGAGGTCGCTACATCTACAGAGAGACTAAAACCCGCTTTTCTACCCGATCCAGAGAGAACAGTTACACCACCACACAGGAAGCAACACAGAGCGCAGCAATATCACCTAATACTTCAGAAGTTTGTAGTAAACCTAAAAAGAAGGTACATTTCGCGCGTACTCACACGTAGTCACTCAGGGGGGAGTATATGTAGGGACACACACTCTACACTCTCTCATTTGCTCATTGATACACACGCGCTGCGTGCAGATGGCGCGCTATAGCGCACAAGATTGACTACAGACTTTCCCTTACACAATACTTTCATACTGACTTCTCATCTCTTTGTGATTTTTCTAACGGCTACATTGTAACGTTCTCGCGACATAATAATAAATATTCTTTAGTACATCTGCCTGCCAGTTATTTCCATCCGATTCTCTACATTATATGTACCACAGCTACAGTTTGATATTTGTCGAAAGCGAGAAAAAGAGTTCTAGGGCAGTTTAGTGCAGGAACAGAAAAC